ACCCTACAAAATAATCAAGAGGATCAATGATTTGGTTTATCGAGTTCAACGCAACACCAGGAGTAAAATGAAAGTTGTACATCTGGACAGGTTGACGAAATATCATGGGCGTGAAGTTGATCGGGACGATCAACCTTAAGAGGAGGGCAGTGTAACGGTAACGAGCCGCCCGTGTGTAGCGGATTCTAGATTTTACGCCGATGTTCAAGAACAAGGTCGAACGCGGTTCTTCCCGAATTAACGTGAATAAATTACGGCGATATATAAGGACGGGTTTTAGCCTGTGAGTAATTAAAGTAATTAGTGTCAGAGTGTATTGTTAAGTGGAATAAATTATTGCTGTGTTAATTGGACTTTGATTTTTGGAATAAACGAAACGAACAACGAACCCAAGATTTTTGTCAGCAGGCAACCCAAAGCCGCGACAATATTTATTAAAAAAATTGATAAAACAGCCAACAAACTCAAAATAAACATAAAATAAACTCAATATAAACTCAAAATAAACTCAAAATAAATTCAAAATAAATTCAAAATAAACTCAACAGCCACTTGTCACTACTCCTACCTGTTTTTGACCCTTGGGTGCTAGTATTCGGACTGGCTTGTGCATCGTACTAATTCCTGTCTCATCTATATTGTAAATAGATGAAGGATCAAATTTATAGCGCTTTATAATAGCTTCTAAATTTCGAAAAAATGTTGCTACGTTCTCTTTCGAAAATCCTTTTACCCTGTTAAGACTAGTATTGCCTCTGGCTTTCTAAGGCTTATTGCTGATTTCTTCTCAAAAACCTTTGTAGCCAATCTTTCCCGGCTAATTGAGTGGCAACATTAAACACGTTTTTAATATTATTTGTTTTTGCAAATTGAAATGCAATCCTTCTGAGTTCAAGAGCAGTGAGTCCATAAAATTGATTTGATAATTATAAAACATGACTCTGTATTAATCTTCCTTCTTCTAGAGAAAACGTGGACTTTCTTCCTAGTCGATGCTTATAATAATTGTCTTTCAGTCTATCTCGAAGAGAACTATATGGGAAATTAAAAGCACGTGTCACTTCCCTTATTTTTCTTCCCGATCTCACAGCTTCTATGGCGGCCATCATTGTTTCTGGAGACCATTGTGCTTTAGTTGTTGTCCTTTTTCTATTTCGAACCATCTGAAACCAAAATAGTTATGAATTAATAATTATAATTATTCAGGTTAACAGCCAGATATCCATAGGGGCAATGGCGCTCGGTAACGGAGTAATCACGCTCAACCTGAGTGGAATTGCCCGAAACTTCAATTTTTAACAAAAATGGCGACATAGTTTTTTTAGGTTTAAATAAATCAACGATGTTTATACTAAACTACTCCCAAGGCATGCCCCATCGATTTAATAAATGATACAATACCCCAAAATAACGTTATTTCAACTTACCTCTAGATTTCCGAAACACAAATATTAGATTGAAATCGTCAAACTACACGTTTTTTATCAGGAACGTCGCTTGAGGCCAGATATCGAAACAGGAATGGCGGCGATTAGTTCGGAGGGCTAAAAAGAGGGGATGACGTCAAGCGGAATAGTAAATTCGACTGGGTTAAGGTAGGAATGAGGTGAGCGTCATTCCCCACTGAGCGCCATTCCCACCCGCTCCATCTCATCGGTATGGTGGCCAATAACTGAGTTGATCACTACTGAAGAAGGTACAAAGGCTAATCTGTCTAGAAATAACAGGAGTAATGATAAGCTGCCCTACCGCTGCCTTAGATTCGCTGAACATATCTGTACTTCACTTAAGTGTGAAAAAATGGCCATGCAATCACTTGCGCTAATAGGTTATTCCAGAAATCCAGACAAATAAATTCAACAAAGAAATTTTGTGGAAATTAAATTTAATGAAAAGTGAAAAATTGGAGTAAGTGCGGGATTTGAACCTGCCACCATCGCATTGCTAGCACGAAACCAACTAAGCCAATCAGCCCACCTGGCAGATTTTCGGCGAATTAACGGCTGCTTTGTTCGCCACCCATACACTCCAATCATTTCAATCCTCCAATGGTTCACGAATGTGGCATCGGTTCCGCTAGGATAAGTCGCCTAAATATGTCACAGTTTCGCAGGTTTCGTCCGCACGATGTGTTAAACTTCCAAAGTACGTCATGCGACGTAATCAAAGTTGAACAAAGGGAAAACTTTTGTCGTTTAAGATACCGAACCTAATTTTACAAAAAAAAAAATGTGGAAATTAAAGTTACTGGAAAATCTGTCAGGAGGGTTGGATGGCTCAGTTGGTAGATCCTCGTATTAGCAATGCGATGGTCGCGGGTTCAAATCTCGCACTAACTCCAATTTTCCATTGACTTTAATTTCCACAAATTTCCTTAGTAAAACTAGTTTCGCCTCCTTAACCGACAAAAATTCTCCCTGTGTTCAAATAAATTCAAGCCTCGAGATCTGAGAGGTCACCTGCGGAAAGACGGTCTCACTTAGAGATTCCAGTCGTTGTGGTCATTCACATGGAAGAATGAAGGGCTACAACATCATGGGAGAATAAATAGCTACAACATGCAGCGCACACCTCGCTGAGATACACAGATGACTCCAATCTAGCGAACGGAGCTGGATTGGCTAGACTAGCATTTCAGAAACTTTAAGGTATCCCAGCCACTAGGCAAATATCCAACCATACTCCAAGCTGAATTGCTTGCAATCAATATTTGTGCACAAGAGAGTCCAAATCAAATCATCATAACATACCTACGTATTTGATACTATCGGACAGCCAAGCGGCTATAAAGGCTGTGAAGGCATGCAAATGCGTATCAAAGCTAGTCTAGGAATGCCACCAGACCCTAAAACTACTCACTATGTGCAACCTGGTAACCTTGATGTGGGTGCAGGTGAGCAGGTCACGAGTTAGCATAGCCACCCTTTGCAAATAAGGTGCTGGAACACCATTTTGCGGTCTACTGAAGAGTAGACCGTAACAAACGAACTATATAAATGGGAGAAGGACCAATTGTCCACATACTGGAGACAAACTCCAGGACTGAGACAGGCAAAAAGAGTCATCACAAAAGAGGGCAGAATAAAGTCCTATCTACACATGAACAGAAATAATATCAGATTGATGGTCGAAGTGCTAACCAGACAGTGCAGACACTGCCCAGTGAAATATCACCTAAAGGCAATAGAAAAGTTAGAAGACGTCAACTGCAGATTTCAACTGAAACCACAGAACTCTGCGATTCTCCGGTCCAACTCTGGAAAAGGCTCAAGTATCTCCAGGGGGTACTGCCAACACCCCCAAGAGTGTGCCAACTATCCCCCAAGAAAATAGCCACCTTCGCAAAAAGACCTTAATTTCTTGATCAGAAACAAAGAAAATAGCTACTTTGTGTGCCTTGAAAAATAGCTGGAAATACTTTGATATCAAAATATATTTAAGTTCTTTCCTTTTACGTATTTTGTAAAATTTTAGTAGCCCCCAGTGTTTATTTAAAATTTATTAAAAAGTTCCTTGAACAATTTTTTTTTTTATACTCACCCCCATTTTCGATGCTACTGCACTAAATTTTCGAATGTTTACATATACCACGTTTATCTATTTGATTTTCTAAGGAGAACAAAAAAAAACCACATGCCTTCATCATTGAAAGTGCCACGGCAGGAGAAAAAACTGTGAATCATTGAGACATTTGAAGACGAAATGTTTGAAAAAAGAGCAGCGGAAAAGTTGAAAAAAGATGAAATTTCCTACTCTTCTCAGCGTGAATTTATCTCTGGGAACTATGGAAATCCAAATGAGCTGAAATTTTCAGGGTTTGTACGTTTGTAGTCCTTCATCCTTCTCTTCACTGAAATAGGAATCCGTGTAATTTTCAAATTGTTATGATTGTCCACATTTTTAGAATTTTATCTTCAAAAATACCTATGTAGGTACTTATTTCAATACAAAAATGTTAAAGTTTCAAATTTTTCCATGTTGAGATTTTGATGCTAAATGATCATTTGGGACTATTCAAACTCCATACTGTGGATCATTATGACATTTGAAACTGAAATGATTGAAAACAAAGCAACCAAAGAAATGAAAAATGGTGAAATTTCCACCTGCTCTCTCGATCCTTAGCAGGAATTTTTATCTCTGGAAATATACCTAGGTATGTCCAAATGAGCTGAAATTTTCGGGGTTTGTAATCCTCTACTAAAACAACATTCAGGAAACATTTCAATTTTCTTTCCATGATAAAATTTGGAGACATGATTTTTCACAGTTTTTGAAATGTATCTTCAAAACTTTAGTATGTACAAAAATGTTGCAATTTTGATTTTTTTCGGGTAAAGATTTTGACTAAAATGATCATTTGAAATCGCCCAAACTCCATACTCTAAATGATGGTAAAATTTGAAGCTGTAATGTTTGGAAAAAAAGAAGAGGAAAAATTGAAAAATGATAAAATTTCCTTGGAGAATTGTATCTCTGGAACTATAACTCCAAATGAGCTGAAATTTTCAGGTTTTGTAGTCCTTCGCTAGAATAAGATTGCCTGAAAATTTCAGATTGCCATGTAAGTAATTGTATCGTGTCTCAAAAAGAATAAAGTTTAGTTCCCCTATTGACTTTTTCAATCCTATACCAGGTTAATCTGGCCAATTTGACATAAAATTGGCCATAATCGAAATCACTTGCATACCTTCAACTCGCTCTAATCCACAAAGAAATGGGAATAAAGCAGTACACATCAATTATAAATATTTTCTAATCAAAAGACTATTTTTACAGCATTTTAAGTAGCCCTTAATAAAATTTGCACTTTTAAATGCTTGTTAGAAAGGCCAATTCATAGCACGACCTTTGAACTTCCAATAAAAATTAATAAACCTGATTTGTTTGTAAGCTTGTCAGATCTCTGAGTAGGTAGATAAATACGACAATGGTTAATTGATTATTAAAACCCAGGAATTACCCTTCAATGCATATAATTAAGACATCAAAAATAATAGTTTTCATTGTAAGAAAAATTTAATAGGAGAATAAATAAAGAGAAGAAAAACATGTAAGTGATTTAGTTTTTATAGTTTATTAACAAAATAAAGAAATACCTAATCTGGTTTACTTATGCCTATCATAACAACACAAAAACGTCCCAAATAAAATTAATATCATTCCTAGTAAACTTCCTAAAAAAAAATAGATGAGTAACTGATGTGATGTTTGCCCCAGAAAATTAACTTACTTTTGCTAGGAAGATTTTCTTCAAGATAAAAACCAGCGATAGCAGTGAATATAAATGTCAAGGAGTTGGCCAACGGTACTGATAAAGTTAAGTCCACATGCTGTAAAGTGAAAAAGTATAGCACTGATCCTAGTTGGTTGATTGCCATTGGAATTATGTACTGTAATATTAAAATAATAATTTCTAACTAATGAAAAAACTTACATTCTTACTTGAAAATTTGTTATTAAATATTTCATTTCTAACAGCAACTGCTTTGTCCATAAGTCAGCCTTTATTTTTGTGATTGATTTCGAATTTCGTTTAATTATTGGATTTGTGAGACCCCATAATGCTGAGACACAAATTAGTGAACCTGGAAAGTAATAAAAGTTTCATACACCTTTTGCAATTGAGTGAGATTACTACATATTCAAGCTTATTTAGGAGTCTGACGCAAGTAAAATACTGTACCTAGGTATAGTCTATCGTTTCTCAAATGAGACAACGCAAAAATTGGGGTCTCCTCAAATTATCGTATTGCCCGTTAAAATTATTATACTTGTGCGTTTTCACACGATACCATACGCGATACCATATATTGCTGGCGATTTCGGTAAACAGCTTTCACACAGAGCGATTATCGCGCTACCATTGAAAAGCCATTAATTTGATTAAATTCGCGATGTTGCCGTTCAGTCCATTATAAACGTGTAAATTTCCATCCAAGCTTTCCCCCGTTTAATTTTATCCTTATATTCCTCAGTTGTTTTGTCCCAGATGTATGGTCTTTGTTCAATTAATTCAATTAGGTCCAGAGGATCAAACGCGTACTGAACCCTTTTCGCCATCTTGCAACGTTGTCGACTGAAGTCTGAGCGATTTATAGTTTTGCGTGTGAAGACAGGCATATACTTGCACAGACGAGTTAAATCGCAACGATAAAATATTGCGCGATATCTGTAGAACATATTGCGTGTAAATGCGGCGTTTTCACACGGCGCTATATATCGCGAGCAATAATTGGTCGCCATATCGCGGTGCACCAAAATTGTAGGTTTTCAAATGAACCGCTTTCACACGACGGCCATACCATAAAATTGATGGTAGCAATAGCGCTATATCGCATTTACACGCAATATGTTCTACAGATATCGCGCAATATTTTATCGTTGCGATTTAACTCGTCTGTGCAAGTATATGCCTGTCTTCACACGCAAAACTATAAATCGCTCAGACTTCAGTCGACAACGTTGCAAGATGGCGAAAAGGGTTCAGTGCGCGTTTGATCTTCTGGACCTAATTGAATTAATTGAACAAAGACCATGCATCTGGGACAAAACAACTGAGGAATATAAGGATAAAATTAAACGGGGGAAAGCTTGGACGGAAATTTACACGTTTATAATGGACTGAACGGCAACATCGCGAATTTAATCAAATTAATGGCTTTTCAATGGTAGCGCGATAATCGCTCTGTGTGAAAGCTGTTTACCGAAATCGCCAGCAATATATGGTATCGCGTATGGTATCGTGTGAAAACGCACTAATTAGGAAAAATATATTGAGCGTGCCCGTATCATTGGATGCGATTCCACGTGCGAACAACGCATCTTATTGGTTGTTTTATACAGTCAACGTTGACTCCAGGAATATCTTATTGGTTAGAAATTTCAACGGCGTATTTGGCGGCATATTTCTTTGAAGTGGCGGCGTCTTTGGCGGCATATTTCTTTGTAGCGGCCGCCTTTTGCGAATCAGTTTCGTCTGGAAAGACAGTGCAGTAGATAGTTTTTATAAATTTGATTTCTATTTGAGTTGTATCCTGCCTCATGTTTTATTTTATATAAAACTGTTTCGATAAATTTCTCTTACACGCCCGTGTTTCATAAAGAAAACGCCGACGGGCAAAGGAATATTATTTTTTTTTACTGTCTCATTTGACTATCGATAGACTATATATATAATAATCTTATTCCTATAAAGGTGCAATACACATATAGTCTGGCAAGTGGTAACTTGGTAGAGACGAAAGGGGGAAGAAAACTGGGGCGTTACCTAAAAATATTCACTGACACCTCAACTGACACCGTCTGATGACAGCCATGTCTTTGAGTTCAGTGGCACCGAAAACACCAAGGAAATAAATCAATAAAATTATTAGAAAAAAGATTCTCTAGTTTCGCCAATAACCACGCCACTGCGTGCTGTCATTCAGGCTCTAACCAATAGAATCTTGTTTGTGAATAATCACGCCTCTCCACTTCCATCATTTCGCAATGTTGCCTGATTTTTTCCTATTTCAAAATATGACACATGCCCATATAGCAAAAAAAAAAAATGTCACCAACTTGTTTATTATTTTGTTTCTAATTTCCGTCAAGTTTGGCAAAGCAGCAAATTCTTTTGCAGTTCGCCGTTTCGCTAGCCAGACAATACATACAGTCATATCTCTGATGCGAATTATGAGTTATTATTTATAGTCGGAGAGCCAGCGCCAAAAAAGTGCAAGAGTTTCATGAAAGCTGAAAATTTAATATAAGCTTGTATTTGTGAAGTAAGTATATAACTATACTCGAGTCAGCAAGTGAGGTAGCGGGACAAGCTACGCCCACGCACCTTTGAATGTGTAAAAAAATAATCGCGATGAAAGAGTTTCCATGACAGCTGAAAATCTCAAAATCTCTCAATCCATTGTTTATTTGATAAAAAACATGACGGACATAGTCAGAAAGCATTATGTTAGGACAACTAGAGTCTGCATGCCTATACAGGGTGGTCCATTAAACTTGAGACAGTCTAATATCTCGAAAACGGTGCGTTTTTGAAAAAAAAAGTTCAAATAAAAGTTACATGGTATCATAGGGGAAACAAAATGGTGGTACTGATTTTTGACTTTGACGGTGCGTTGTTCTGGGGGACAATGCTCTGCACTTATTTCACCTGACACTTGTTGATATCTTTAATGCCACTTTTCCTATTATAAATATAAAACCTAAAAAAAGAAAACCATGGATTACAGAGGGCTTAAGAATTTCTTCCAATAACTTGCGATGTCTGCACACCATTAGAAAATTTGCAGTGACTAACGAAGTTTTTGTAACATATTTCAATAAATATAGATCAATATACCGAAATACAATTAGACTAGCAAAAACCACTTATTACAACAGTAGAATATCATCAGCAAACAATGCTCAAAGGGAGATCTGGAGTATAGTGAATGACTTGAGGGGAAGAGAATCCAAGCAGGATGATTCGGCTGAAATTGACGTAAACACCTTCAACTCATATTACTGCAATATTGCAGGGCACCTGTGGGGCAGCATCCCTGGACAAATAGTCCCTGATCCTTTATCATTGTCCTCCTTGAGCAGTTTTTTGGTTCCTAACTCTTTCTTTTTCAACCCAGTTACGGCAGAAGAATTAAAAAAAATATTTTTGAGTATCAAAAATAAAACCTCATCTGGTTGGGATAATATTTCTAATAAAATCTTTCTTGCCCTTCCGGACCCTGTCCTAAATGTTTTGGCAAATGCCATTAATAATTCAGTGGAAGCAGGTGATTTCCCAACCTTTTTAAAAAAAGCCAGGGTGATTCCAATTTTCAAGGGAGGAGAGAAGGATTTACCTTCTAACTATCGCCCAATATCATTGCTGCCTACTCTAAGCAAGATAGTTGAAAAGCTCATGAAGGAGCGGATGGTGGTTTTCCTGGAACAGAATGGGCTATTATCTTGCAATCAGTTTGGATTCCAATCTTCGAAAGGTACGAGTGATGCCATTTTCAACGTCCTGGAGCAGGTATACCTCAGACTTAATGATGGTGAGAAGGCTGCGGTGGTGTTTTGTGACTTGACAAAGGCTTTTGACAGCGTCAGTCACGATATACTGCTGCGCAAGCTCGAACTCTGTGGTTTTAGGGGTGTTGTCCTGGGGTGGTTTGGTTCTTATTTGTCTCAGAGAAGTCAGAGTGTTATCTCTCGGGGTAACGTTTCCGGTAGCCTAAGTGTTAGCGCCGGCGTTCCGCAAGGGTCTGTTTTGGGGCCATTGTTGTTTTTACTATATGTTAATGATCTTCCTGCAGCTGTGAAGAGTGGTCTATGCACTTCCTTTGCTGATGATACCACAATAGTTTGGCATCATAAAGACACTGTCATGCTGAATGCTATGGTGAACGATGACTTAGCGAGAATTAAAATGTGGTGTGACTCCAATCGGCTGTCATTTAATATTCAAAAGACATCCATCATGAATTTTAAATGTAATCTTGGTAATGTTTTTCTAGATGATACTATTATAGGCAGAAGCATCGAGACCAAATATCTTGGCTTGATTGTTGATGATCAGCTCAGGTTTGACAAACACACTGAGCATTTATGTAAAAAAATATCATCAGCATGCTTTGCTGTTAGAACTGTCAAGGCTGAGCTGGGCGAATCGGTTGCTAGACGGGTGTATTTTTCTTTGATCGAGTCACATCTTAGTTATGGCATTTGCTTCTGGGGTTCTTGCTCATTAACATTGTTCAACGTCATATTTGTTCTCCAGAAGCGTGCTATAAGGTCGTTATGTGGTCTTAGTCCACGGAACTCTTGCAGACCATTCTTTATAGACAGACGTATTTTAACCTTGCCTTGTATCTTGATTTTGGAATCGGTGTGTCTCATGCAGAAAAAGTACTCCTCTAATATTCATGCTCCCTCCTTGGTCAATACCAGAAGTTCACATGTAATTGATCTACCAATTCCCACATCCTCGCTAACACAAAAATCTATTCACTATAGGAGTAAGAAAATGTTTAATCACCTACCTCATAGCATAAGAACAATGAAGGAGAGTAGATGTTTCAAGAGACAAGTCAAAAAATTACTTCTGGCTAAGGGTTTTTACTCTGTAGAGGAATACTTCTCATCTCATCTGTTTAATGGTCAATAATTTTAAGTTTTAATTTTAAGTTTGTTTTTAATTGTTGAGCAGTCTTTCGATCTATTTTATCCAGTTGTTTTTATTCCTATTTTATTCCTGTTTATTATCTTTATTTTTACGTACCTACTTTGTTGATGATTTCAATTTTAATTATATTATATTTGGAAGCTTTGTTATCAAGATTTGTATCTTTAAACAATAAAGCATATTTTGATTTGATTTGATTTGACAACGTTTTCAAGGTTATTTCAAGGTCAACTCTTTTTTTTCTCAATGGAGACATATTTTTTTATTACAGAATCTTATTCTACAAAAAAAAAACAAGGAACTTTTACCTGAAGCATTTTTCGATCTGGTTTCAATTTAAGCTGATAAAAAAGAACGAATAATTTTTTTGTTTCCTCCTCACAAAATCGAACAGTAGAGAAAGGTTACCAAAAATACCTC